TGGTTCCTCGCCCGTGCACCAAGCTGCACCTCCTGCGGGTTGAGCTGTCAGTGCCTGTGTAGGTGCCGGCGGCCTTTGGGTTCCCAGTGGCGAAGAAGGGCTGCTCTGTCTCCTGAGCACCTACAGACATAAAATACCTCCCCCGGAAGAGGAAGGGGAAGCCGAAGAAGCTGTATTCAGAGTTCTGAGGGAGATTGTTTGAAGGTAATACGAAACAAAGTGCACTCTGCAACTGGTCGTCTTTATACAAGCTCTTTCTTTTGTCCATAGCTAAAGGAATCCAAACGGGCAGTGAATAGCCTTCGGGATATCGTTGATGATGATGATGACGACGACCTTGAGAGGGTCAGCTGGAGCGGAGAACCTGTGGGAAGTAAGTGCAGAAGTACTGCAAGTTATCCTTGAGACAGGGGGAGTGCTTAAGTCATGTTGTTTAGTTGAGGTCAGGAGTACTACTTGCTATCTAATCCTGTATATCTAATCTAATACTAGTCTCCTCCAGTCACATTGTGAGCTGCTTGATTTACCTGTGTGGATCCACTGAAAAGAGAGCACGCAGGAGCCTAAATTAGATAAAGGAGTGCAGACAAGTGGAGGGAATTCACTGTGGTTTTCCCAATATGCAGCCCAGCTTAGAGCAGATATTTTGGAGGTTATGGCTTGATATTCATTACCCTCAGCTGATCTGCAGGATTCTAGGTGATCATTTCCCTCACACTGCTGCCTGAAATGGCACCATTTAAAGTTCTCTGTGCTTTGTCCCCACAGCTCTTTAAGGAGATAGTCCAAGGTTTAGTGTGTGTTTATAGACTGACTCTTATGCTTGAAGTTTGAAAGGGAATTGTAAGAATTAAGCAAATGCATTTCTAGTGATGATGGGAGCAAGCTCATGACCCACACATGATACTGTCTGCTGCACTTTGGAGTTCATGACCCACAGAATATGTGGCACTTGCTAGCCAGTGCCAAACATTTGGATCACCCAGCGGACCTTCAAAGAGTCTGTTCTTCTTGTCCTGTGCTGTAGCTCCTCCCTCTAGTTCAGGCCATTTCTTTACCCACCCAAGGTCTCTACTTACTGGCTTTTTTGCTCTGTCACCCTGTCCTAAAATGTGTGTTGTGCAGCTGCATGAAAAGAAGGGAAAGCTGTGTCTCAAACAAGCAGGAGGGAGACACATGCATTGTTGCCAGCAGCATATGCCCATTGATAGCTGATGGCTGTTTCGTCTGTGTAGGAGGAAAACTATCTTAGTTTTCCAGTGTTCAGGAGGTATGCTCTTATGCTTCTGAAATTCGAGGTAAACCAGGGATTCTCTGTGTTGCTCTGCACCTTTAGAGCAAGGATTATGCTTTACTCTGTGCAACAACATATAAATTTTGGGTGGTCTATGCATTTTTTTTGTATAAGCCATAACCAGCTGTACAACATTGCTGAAATCAACCATTTCTGGACGACAACGCGCAACTGTTTAACAGGCAGTATTACACAAGACTGGGATTCTGTGCACTGCATCTACTTAGTGCTGAGGGTCAAAGTTATCAGGATGTGCTAGTGCAGAACTGACCAGGACACACTTGGTAATGTGCTGTAAGATCATTCTTCACAGACTGGTTTTCTCTTTGTCTGTTATAAATGACCTCTGTCTGCACATAGGTATCTCCTGGTCAATCAAAGAGACAGCCTCCAGCAGCACTAGCTCGCTGGAGGGACGAGACTCCAGCCTACAGAAGGGCTCTTCCTCCTATGCTGCTTTTCCCAAACAAGCTTCCTCCTACTCCCTAAGCAGCCTATTCAAAGGTGAGGTTCCTTATATACAATATGGACAAATGCATTTTCCCTCAAGAGTGTTAAGGGGCAATTGTGTTACCTTATGTAAATTGTTTTCTCTTAAGGGTATTGCAAAACAGGGAAGCTCTGATCTCTCCTCAGTGTGAGAGTGTATCTCTCACTGGTCAGAAATTGGAGACTGTCTTGTGCAGAAGATCACTTGCTCTTGTGGTATGGGAGGGGGCTTTGGAGAGTATGGCTTCTTAAAAGCCAGGTTCCACAGAACAGCAAGTAGAGCACAGCATTGTACAACAATCCGTTTCTATAAAATCATAGAACCGTTTAGGTTGGAAAAGACCTTTAAGATCATCAAGTCCAACCGTTAACCTAACACTACCAAGTCCACCACGAAACCAATTAAGGGTAGAGTAATAATTAATTTCATGTTTCCTGGCTTGGTGGCTGGATTATTTTTTAATGAAAGTAAAGCTAGACTAGAAAAAAGGTTGGAAGGGACCTCTAAGATCATCAGTCAAACCGTCAACCCAACACCACCATTTCCACTAAACCATGTCCTGAAGTGCCATGTCTACCTGTTTTTTGAACACTTCCAGGGATGGTGACTCCACCACCTCTCTGGGTAGTCTGTTCCAATACTTGACCACTCTTTCAGTAAAGAAATTTTTCCTAATATCCAATCTAAACTTCCCCTGATGCAACTTGATGCCACTTCCTGTCATCCCATCGCTAGTTACTTGGGAGGAGAGACAAACACCCACCTCACTACAACCTCCTTTCAGGTAGTTGTAGAGAGCGATAAGGTCTCCCCTCAGCCTCCTCTTCTCTAGGCTAAAAAACCCCAGTTCCCTCAGCCGCTCCTCATAAGACTTGCTCTCTAGACCCTTCACCAGCTTTGTTGCCCTTCTCTGGACGTGCTCCAGCATCAACATGTCCTTCTCGTACTGAGGGGCCCAAAACTGCACACAGTATTTGAGGTGCAGTGTCACCAGTGCCGAGTACAGGGGGATGATCACTTCCCTGCTCCTGCTGGCCACACTATTTCTGATACAAGCCAGGATGCTGTTGGCCTTCTTGGCCACCTGGGCACACTGCTGGCTCATGTTCAGACAGCTGTCAGCCAACACCCCCAGGTCCTTTTCAGCCAGGCAGATTTACAGACACTCTTCCCCAAGCCTGTAGAGTTGCATGGGGTTGTTGTGACCCAAGTGCAGGACCCGACATTTGGCCTTGTTGAATCTCATATGGTGGAAAAGAGCAGGCTACAAAGGGACTGGCTTGACCCATGTGGCCCTCATTTGATCTTCAGTACTGTAGAGAAGACAGGTTGATTATCCTTTATTTGGAGCTCAGCTGGCTGCTGTTGATCTTAGAGTTGGTTCAGCAAACACATGGTAGCAACAGTGGTAGCATAGCTGGTTGTGGGGAGAACTGTGCAGCAGGCCATGGGGAGACTTACACAGCTTGCAAGAGTTCAGCTGTGTTGTCTCACTGTCGGACAACAAACCAGCTTTTACTTTGTCTCTCTTTCTCTGGGGTGGTTTTTTTACTCTCAACTTTGATAATACAGTGATAATGAAAGGCATCCAAAGTGCAGCCCTGGTGAATGAAGCTGTCCATGTTGCCATGGCCTAAGCAGTGCTGTGTGTCTTAGCCTCTGCTCTGCAGGTAGATTAGTGAATTCAGGCTCTCTAACCTCTCCTGGCCTCAGCAACAAGAGGGCAGATAGGGCTGTGGTGTGATACGGTTTGTGATGCCACAGACAACTTCAAAGCCTTAGGCTGCAAGCAGGCGAGCCCCAGCTATGCCCTATGCCGGTGTAGTGTGAATCACTGTACAGAGTGGCCTGTTCTACAGTGGCATGCCTGCACCACACTGGCTTGCCATCTAGGCTTGTGTTCCCTCTGCAAGAGATGTTGCTGGTGAAGAGACAGTCTCTCAGGAGTGTTTGTTTTGATTTCAGGACGAAACAAACTTCCAAGTTTCCAGTCCCTTTCAGATGGTAAGTTTTGAATCTCTGCCTCATTTTGGGAGGGGTGCAGATTTACATAAACCAAAGCATTTCCAAAAAAAGGGAAGTGTCATCTTCCTTGTGTTGCAGAAAGGGAAACTGAATCATGGGTTGTCTGAAAGTCATTCAGCAAAGAAACGAAAGAGTTGGCATGATCGTTTGGGGTAATCTGCTTACATACAGCTGATGACTGTTAGGTTTAGAGCAACTTTGTATTGCCATTTGGTGCTTGAGTTTGAGTCTTCTACCACGAAAACCAAGAAAAGGGTGGTTTTGGAAATGGGCACGAATCAGGATTTTGATGTGCTACTCAGCTTTGCCTTTCCCTCTCAGCCCTCTCTGACACAGGAGTTAAAAACTACGCCCCAGAGCTGCGCAGACCGAAAGCTGAGTACAAGGTGAGCCGCCTGTGTTTGTAGTGTGCTGAGATCAGAGTAGTGCCAGGAGAACTTCCTACTCTATTGGTTTCATGGGAAATGATTAATTGCTATTTCAGACAACAGAGGGCAACGCAGGGGATAGGACAGGGAGCTGAAAAACGCAGCCTCACAGTAATTTAGGTATTCTCTGCTTTTGCTCAGAAGTAGGGAGTTTTGCTGGGGGTCTTAGTTACTCCTGCTCCTAATGAATGGCCCAGCAGTGTTTGTGAAAAGGATTTCTAAATAGTGCTTTGCCTGTAAGCTGCTTTCATGCTGGGTCAGATGAATTGGCAACACATGTGCTTTTTAAATTTTTTAAATCTAAAGGCTTCTAAATTTCTTGTTCATGAATCTCTGTGACAGCACAGAGGGAGTTACACAGAGTTCCAGTTGGCAGGAATGTTCTTCTCCCAGATAGGCAGTGTTAGGTGTTGCAGAATCTAGTGGATTTTGGGACTGGGTAGATTCCTCCTACTAGGTGTGAGGTTGTGGTTCCGCGTCCCCAGGTCCAGCCAGTAACAGGACCAAACACATACTCCCAACAGATAGAGACATGCACAATACTGACACAGCTGCCCACACAGATTAACACAGACAGAAACCAATGCCTTTACCAACAGATACATAAACACACAACACTCAAGCCTGATCCTGAGCCTCCTTTTTGTCTGACCAGGATTGGATTCCAGTAGTAGAACATACACACACTCTATGGGTCTCTCCAGTAGCTGGTCGTAGATGTCCACTTTGCTTTCCAGCTTAATCCCAGACCCCAGTCTCCTCCAGTTGCTGGCATCTGGACCCTGAGCCCCCAGTGTTCCTGGTCCCATTCTGGTTCCTAGTACTCAGATTGCTTATTCTACTCACTGGTTGGTTGAGCTTGAAGTTCACTAGCGTTCATGCAAACACATACACTTGGAATAGAGAGCCCACCCACACAGAAGGTGGTTAAATATAGAATTTAATGAGAATATAAGAGAGACTGCAGTGATCCGTTGCAGGGCTCAGTCAGACAGGCATGCTAACTAGCCACTTGTTTAAACTTGGCTGGCACCCCATGGCCCCTTTTCCTTCTGTTTTCCCATGCCTGTTCCTGCCCAATTCATTTTGATCCCTCCCTCTCCCTGCTTTTTGTCTTTCCCATAAACTTCCATAACAAGCCTGACACATTTACACAACCCTCTTAAAACATCCCAGGATTCTCTTTCCCCTGCATTTATACGAAGTCCTGTGCCTCTTTAGGGTTGCATGGTGTTTGGGGAAGTTTCTTTGGTTTACTTCTCTTGGAGGGTTTTACCCAATGGATAATGACCTAATCTGTCTCATTTGATGGTGACAAGGAGTGGCCAAGTCAGTGTGCTCAGATTGTACTGATTGGGTTACTGGGTTTTCTCCACCTGTCCTTGGCCATCTGATCCTCACCAGGTTGGTGTGTTTATGTTGATTAGCCATTAATCACATAACCTAACAGGCTGCTCTTCCTGAAAGCACAGCAGGAGAAATAAGTGTGCTCTGTCCCGTCCCGTCCCATCCCGTCCCGTCCCGTCCCTGCAGAGGCAGTGAAGCAGGAAGAAGGGCTGTACAGCTCCTTAAAAGCAGACAGGAGTATCCTAAGTGAGGTGGAACAAGGAAGAGAAAGTTTTGAACCAGTGTTCTGACAGTGACAGGCTGAGGAGCTGCGTCTGGCCAGAGGTGCTGGAGGGAACTCTGGTGCTTAGGACATTTGACTATACATTGACTTGAGAGGCTCATGTGCAGTGGTCCCCTAATAGGACTGGGTCAGCCTTTTTTTCCTTTAGATTTGGGCTTTCGGTAAATCTTCAATGAATTTAAAATTCAGTGTCCTCAGAGCTAGTTCTGGTTACTCCCTTTCTCTGGTTCTTTTGAGGCAGAAGGCTGAATTACAACTGCTGGCTTGAGTGCCTCACAAAGACTTAGATGCCTTCTTGGAGTCTGAGTTCAGGAGTGGCTCAGGCCACTGCCACTTTTTATCCAGTGCTTCCAGATCGTAGTGTTTGTAGGCTGCAGGGGAAGAGCTTGGGTCATTGCCACAGCTGTAGCATATTACCTTAAGATGGTACAGGCTTCAGTGCTCTTGTCACATTGTACTAGTCCCTGTGCGACTCCCCAGGCACTTGCCTGAGGCTGTTGTCCCTGCGTTCTCCGCACTGCTGTAGAAGGCTCACCAGCGAAGTCTGTCTGAATTGTAACAAGAAACTGGCTCCTTCCCCCTCAGTTTTGGGTTTGTCAGTTTTGCATGTATTTTGTTTGTCCTTTTGAAAGCAACACTGGAGCTTTAATTTGCAAGGAGGACAACCTGTTGAAATGCACTTCTTATAAAGGATATGATGATGGACCTTACTGAGGCAATAGAAAGACTCTGTGTTAACATCTGAGCCTCTAGTTTCCCTCCCCACCAGCATGCAGAGTCCGAGTGCCCAGCATCTGCACCTGAACACTGTAGGGACACAGCCTACTAACAACCCCCCTGGAGCAGCTGAACGATAAGTCTGAGAAGCTACACATGGGCCATCACTCTGATCCAGCACAAGTGGAAAGCAGCTTCAGGACTGGTGGCGTGATCTGGCCTCTTGAGGCTCAAGAGCTCTACTTTTCTTGTGGCAGGATTACAGCAGTGATTGGAGCCCCAAAGATACAGTCAGGCGAATGCAGAGGGGCAAGGTAAGGACTTTCCACTCCCACCTGCTTGCAAGAGATGGAGGGTGGGTGGTCCTAAACTGCTTTACACTTCCCTATGCTCCTGGCTGTTCTGGGAGCAGGGAGGGGATCCATGTTGCTTGCAGTACCTAGCAGGGATGGTGCTCTGCCTGTCTGCTGCTTTGTCAGGTGGCAGTGCTGGGATCACACTAGCTCAGGAGCAGGAGGAGACCTTCAGGGTTTTGTTGTGTTGCTTACTTGAGTCGTCCCCTCAGCTAGGCTCTGACAGAAGGTATCTGTACTGCTGTGTCCCTCCTACCCCTTCTGCTCTCTGGGGCTGGGTTTATGGAAAAAAAACAAGGATGTGGGGTTTTACTTCCTTTCTTAGTTGGTGGCAAATGGAAGGAGGAAGACAGAAGCAGTCTTGGTTACACTGGAGCTGGAATCTTAGTCTCAGCTGTCTCAGTTTGCAGTGAGCACACAGGGAGCTTGTGGTTTTACTCTGCACGTGTCTCCTCAAAGGCTGAGGTGAATTAAAGGCTGAGAGAGGCCACAATTGTGGGGTAAGAAGAAGGGAGGAAGAGTCTTACAACTGTACTTTTCTGGTCTCCTCTGTGGAAGGGGGCATGCAGAGTTCCCTCCTCCTGTCAGGGCTGGTGGTTTGTGGTGTGCGGGGAAGTTTTGCCTTGTTACAAGGGTGTTTGTGCTGAATGTACAATGTCTGCTGTCCTAGCCTGGGCAGTAATGAGGGCTAACTCTGCAACCCCTGTGGACAGATTCCCAGGGATCATGCGGCACGTGGTTTCAGCTAAATGAGAAGTTCTCTACTGGTTGGGAGGGCAGTTATTCATGTTCATGGGGGAAGAATAGGTAGTACCTTGGGGGTTGGTTCAGCCTGGGGATTGTCTGATGTCCCATATGCCTACTTATACCTCTTCTATCTCCAGGTCTGCTCTCTAGAGAGATTTCGCTCCCTGCAGGACAAGCTGGTGCTCTTGGATGAAGCTGTGGCAGGGCACGATGGGAATGTCATTACAGCTGTGAGTCCTGCTGGGGCCATATAGGGCTGGGACTTCCTGGGTAACCCCACAGAGGGTGCTTGTGTGAATGCAGTCAGTTGGCCACCTAATCTTGCAAGATGGGGAGTTGTTCTTTACTTAAAACCAATAAGTTACTGAAAAGTGTTGAAGCTTAAGACTGGGAAGTTCCATATCCCTGCTGACTTTCCTGCCACTCTGCAGAATTCATGTCAGGTTAATAACAAGGAACCTGATCCTTCAGCCTTACAGATCTTTGCAGCAACTTCTTGAAGGCTGAGGTTTAATCTGCTTGTTGCAGCTCAAAATTTTTGAGTGGCCTCTCCAGTTTATCTGGCTTCGAAAGCATCAGGCAGCAAATGGGACTGTGTCAGAGCTTCCCTCATCCAGGTCTTTTAAGCCCTTGGATCTCTCATGGAAAGATTTTTCTTTGTAAATCTTGGTCTCATTTATTTATGCTCCAGAGTAGGAGCTTAGGCAGGCATCCAGGCAGCTGTGGCTCTGGCTCACTGCTTGTCCTGCGTCTAGTGGGTAGCGGAATTCACAACAGTGCTGTAAGAGCTCTGTCTTCAGACGTCCTTTGCAAAAGCTTCCCCAGGCCTTGACAAGTTTGCTGTCTGTCTGTCTTAATTCTGGTGAAGGCTGACCTGGTCAGCTGAGAGCTGCCTCTTTGTGCTCACAGGTCCTGATATTCCTGAAACGGACGCTAAGGAGAGGTAAGTGTGACTGGGGCCAGGGTTTCTATAGCGTGTTTCAGTTAAGGGCAGAGGGGCTAATTCTTTCACTGAGTGCAAGTCACAAAGAGAGCATTTGGGGTATTGCTACTTTACTTAGCATGAAATATTTTTGCAGCAAGTATAACATGGGAGGGGGGATGGTGATGCCTACAAAGGCCCCTGGGGAGGAGCTTTAAGCAGTGGTAGGTGGTAGTGGTGATGGGGTGAACGAAAATGAACCTGTAGGGGTAGCGCACTGCTGTGAATTCAGCTGGCAGCCTAGTGAATGGGCCTTTCTCCTGTGTTCTAACCTCCAAGACTGTGCTTTGAGATGGGATAAGGTGGTTGAATCCTGCCAGTGGCTTGCAACTCTATGTACCATGCTTAGCCCCTTCTGGCTTGGTAGTGGTAATTTACTTTACCAAACTGTATGTCTATCTCTCTCTCCTGTAGAGATCTTGTTTCGGGAACTGGAGGTGCGGCAGGTGGCCTTGAGTCATCTGATCCATTTCCTCAAAGAGACGGGTGAGCAGAAGTTGCTTCTGGATCTACTCAGGTGAGGCTCTTGCCCAGCCTTGTGGCAGGGCTGAGCACGCTTCTAGGAACCTGCCTCCAAGTTAATGCTTGCTCATGCCCTTTTGCAGGTTCCTAGACAGGACTGAAGAAGTTGCTGTGAGTATTCCCAGGAGCAGAAGCTCCCTTTCCTCAGTGAAGAGGGAGTGTAGTGGGCAGGGGGAGGCTGGCTGCAGGGTGTCTGGTAGTCAGGCAAGAGCTTTGCATCCCCATTTTGCCCTCTGGGGTCCTGTGAACAGACTGTGCTTCTTTTCCCTCTCCCTCCAGCTGTCCCAGTACCGGGAGCATTTGAACATCCAGGATGTAGAAAAAAGGAGGGAATTTCTGAAAGGTTGCATTGGGTAAGAAAAAATGGAAGAGGGTAGGAGGGATGTGGGTGCTTCACAGAAGGTGGTAGTAAAGCAAATTAGACCTCTGTCCCAATGCCACAGCTTATGTAGTTTGAGAGCTGATGTTGGTTTTGCCTCAGTGGGAGTGGGGTGTTGTGGACACCACATAGACCAGAGAGGAAGAATTTGTGCTGATCGCTAGTCCAGCAGCTTTTGCTGCTTACTTGGGGACAAAGATGTTTCAGGGACCTTCTGATCATTGACCCTTCAGGTTGTGAAGGATGAAAGCTTGGGGCCCTGAGCACTTGAGGAAATTGGTAACATCAGCTTCAGGTTGTTCTGAGAGATGCCACATAACTTTTCCTTCTCTGGAGCCTGTCTAGGAGAGAGCCAGTTGGAGATGGCAGCAGGGCAGGAGCTTGAGTACCCACTAGCCACTCAGGCTGGGAAGAATGGGAGGTGTTCCCCGCATCTCTGTCTGTGGGGAGCATGTTTGGTAGATAAGAGCATCCTTGTAAGTGTACTGTGTTAAGAGCTGTTGACAGTGTCTCCTTCCTCCACATCTGGCCAGGCTGCCATTTTCAGCTGAGGATACCTCCCACGTCCAAGACCATTATACCCTGTTGGAGCGACAGATCATAATTGAGGTATGAAAGCTTCCCTGCTGGTCAGGAGATGACTGGGACTAGCTGTGAGATCTCTGTCTGTCCCTAACCTAGACCACTTTCAATCTAACCAGCCTGCCCTGGCTAGTGTAGGTTAACTGCTTTCTAAGCTGCTGTGCCAGGCACATGTGTGAAATACCAGACTTGAGACTTCATGTCGTGTTGAGGCTGTGCTTGTGCATTGCTATCACAACACCTTCCCCAGGTCTCTACCCTGCAGCTAGGTCAGGCAGTTGCCCTGGCTCATGTTCACCCTCTCTGACTTCCTGTTTCCGCAGGCCAATGATCGGCACTTGGAGACAGGTGGGCAGTCAGAGATATTTCGGAAATATCCTCGCAAGGCTTCAATTCTCAACATGCCACTAGTGACCACCCTCTTCTATTCCTGTTTCTACCACTACACAGAGGCGGAGGTGAGGATGATGCGGGAGAAGAGAAGGGTTACATCTCATCCCTGTAGCCTTCAATATGTGGGGTGGTTAAGCTGGAGCATATTAAGGAAGGAGGGGGAGGGATCTCATATTTCATCCCTCAGAGAGACCTACAGGAACCCAGCTCCCCTTGTCTATCTGGGACCAGTTTGGAGTTTTCTTTTGTGCTCTAAGATGGGACATTCAACCTGGGACAGCCTGTCAGGGAGTTGCCTCCTAGAAACCACTGTCTTTTACTTCTGACTCGAGGGAGCCAAAATTGGCCCTTAATTCCATGAGGCTGAAGTGTGTGATACTGGTCTTGGAAGCACTGGAGGTGCACCAGTTGAGGATGTAGGGGAAACCAAACCAGAGAGCTAATGGGGTGGGATAGTTGCTCTCTTCTGCCTGCTGTTTCCTCCTGTGGCACTGACATGAGCAAAAAGCAGTAAAAACTTCAGGACGTTCACCCTGTGTAAGGCAAATACCTTACAGCAGGTGACTGAACCTCTCCCATGGCCTGCCCTGCTGAGTTTGCACTGACTTGTCTGCTGTCTCTAGGGAACGTTCAGCAGCCCGACCAACCTGAAGAAAACATTTAAGGTACGTGAATCTCCTGCTGTTGTGGCAGCACTAGCTGAAAATGTGGGCAGCCAAATTGTATTTAGCGAGGCGGGTGGGTAGGAGGAGTTTGAGGGGCTCAGCACTGAGATAGGAAAGGGGGGCATAGCATCTGCCTTGAGCAGGGCCATTCTGGAGGCTCAGAAAGGTGAGTGGGAGTCATATGGAGACTTTCACTGGGTGCACCCTGGCTGCAGCAGCACCTGCAAATCCCCACCTCTTGCTCTCTGCAGTGCTGGCCCTGGCATCAGGCAGCATCTCACCTCCTTGCCTGGCTGTTGGTGTGGGTCCTGACAGGACTGGGGGCAGATGCCATTCCCGTCCAGCCCACACCGGCCTTCTGAGCTGTGCTAGTGCTCTGACTGCAGCTTTCTGCCTTGTAGATTCCTGATAAGCAGTATGTGCTGACTGCCCTGGCTGCCCGTGCCAAGCTGCGAGCCTGGGATGATGTGGATGCTCTCTTCACCACCAAGGTGAGCTGCGGAAAGCCTTGCTGGGGACTCAATTCCAAGTACTGGTATCTACGACTGAAAGCTGGTTTGTTCTGGAGTTACTGGACCGACTGGTTTTATTTTGGGAGAGCCCAGCACCTCTGCTGCAGGGTGCTGCACTGTGTTCCTCCTCTCCCTGCCTAAGACCTCTGCTGGGCCTGGCTTGGCTGCAGCAACAAGGTCAGAGAAGGGGGCTGCCCTCGTGCTCTGTTACCAAAAGGTTCACAGCCAACCTGCGCCCAGCCACTGCGTGAAGGGCTCTACCAGTGGTGCATGTGGCAGCTGGTGGCATACGTTGCTGGCACTGGGGAAAAACATTTTCTTGTGGCTGGAGGGATTGCCCTTTAGGATTACCATAGGGTTTGGCTCTCATTTCAGAACTGGCTGGGCTACACCAAGAAGAAGGCACCTATTGGCTTCCACCGGGTGGTGGAGATCTTGCAGAGGAACAATGCTCCTGTGCAGGTGAGCAAGGAAGTGCTGCTTATGTCCTCCTGTTCTTTGTTGGGATTTGGGGTGTGAATGATTCCTCAAGTGAGCTGCTTCCTAGCTGGGAGTGGGAGAACAGCTTGCCAAGCTGCTGGCTCTGCCAGGTTGGTGCAGCACTCAGCTGAGCAACCCATGCATCAACAGGAAGTGTGGGTGCTAGTGAGGGCTGGTCCTAGGTCTGACTGCAAGAGGGACAGCGGGCCTAGAGTTGTCTGGGAGCTCCCTCCCCACATTGTGTTGCTACCTTTGTTTGCTACATTAACTTTTTTTATGCTTAATCTGGCTGGCAATGGTTAACCTGATCCATAGGAACACGGTAGCCTGGGACTCTGAGCTTTGTAAGCAAAGCTTTACTGCCTCTGGCGTCCTGAGCAGTCTTGTCCTGGTCGCTTTTTGCCTTGAGAAGGGGTCAAGTCTGTGTGACCCCCCTCTGAAAGGTTTTGTGACTGTGTTGAAAGAATGAGGCAGGAGGTACCTGCAGAAGGGAGCTGAGACACGCTTCCTTCTCTCACAGGTGCTGCAGGAGTATGTGCGCCTGGTGGAGGATGTGGAGACACGGTTGAACCTCGCCACCAAATACAAGTGCCATGATGTTGTCATTGAGGTAGGTCCCTGCTGCGTGTGTGAAGAGATGGGACAAGAGCCTGCTTTTCCTCCCTAGCGTTCCTGTGCTCTGCCATGTGCCACTGCTGTCATGTGCCTGGTGGGGTTTGTTTACCCCTGTGGCCTGGGAGCAGTGATAATGGTTCCCAGTGAGCCAGGAGAGTGGCTCCGAGCGCTTGCGCTGTGGAATTGTGCTGTGGTGGGAACTTGAGGGAGGATTGAAGAGTTGCCCTGCTCATCTACAGGGCACCATCTAACTGTGGAAGTGTCCTTTTCACTCAGCTGGGTGCTGGTTTTGCTGTTTGTCTAGACATACAGGGATCTAAAGGATCGCATCCAGCTGACAGCATATAAATGCAAGGTGGAGCGAGGCTCTGCAGAAGAAGAGAAGATAAACAGCATTCTCAACAACATGGTAAGAAATGTCTACTCTTTCTTCCAGAGACTCTCATCAGAAATGGCTGTAGATTAGGTGTAAGGGCATGGCCATCCTACATACTTTTTATCCCTGCTGCGAAGCTAATCTTATGTTTGGGGTTGCATTCAGTGTAGGAATGAAGGGTGAAACCGATAAATGGCACCCTCTGGCCATAGTTGTCCTTGTCAGGGACTGAGACTCACTAACTTGGCCCCCGAGGGATCTGTGTTCAGCACTGACGTTAGTCATGTCTCGTTCTCTCTTTTAGCAAATCCGATGGAAGAACTGAGCACCTGTGAAGCAGCCTGCTTGGCCGTTGCCTTGCCAGTGAAAGAGGAAACTGCAAAACCCAGTCCAGTGCCAACAGAGCAACTCTGTTACTATTCATTGCATGATCAGCGTTCGTCAGTGACAGTGGGTGCTTGTGGGACAGTGGCATTCAGGCTGGTTGAAGGCAGCTGCTCCAATGTAGCCAGCAAAACCATGGTACTGATCCACCAGGGTTGATTCTTTTTGGAATCTGATTCTCTTTGACTTGGCTGTAAGCCAGGCATCATTTTGTTTATGGAGGGAAGTTGCTGGGCACAGCAAGGTTACATCTGCTTTGGGTGGTGCCTGGGCTTATTCTCGCAAGAGGAGCAGGTCGGTCACGCTCATGGGTCTCTCCACCAGACAGTGCTGATCAGTCCTTGTAACACTCAAGCTGGCTTGGGCATCACCAGTCGTGGCTGTGGCTGGAGTAAAGCCTAGTGGACTGTGTTCTCCCTGCATCAAGGGTGTGTTGGGGGAAAGGACCAGCCGCACCTTAAAGCGTGTTGGTTTTTTTTTGGTTGGTTGGTTGGTTGGTTTTTTTGGTTGGTTTGTTCTGGCTCACCCTAGGAAAAGAGGTGTTGTATGAACTCCTGCAGAGAGCCAGGACAGCAGTCTCTGCCAGTATCCTTGTGCTGGCACTCTGCAGCTCTTAGAAGATCCCTTTATCAGGGAAGAACAGGCACGTAGTGTGGAGCTGGTCAGAGCCCTGCTGGGTTGGATGGAGAGCAAGGACCCTTCTCAGTTAGCACAAACCTGCTGGCCCCAGCAGCTCTTTTCTCTGAGAGTGTTATGCCAGGAAGGATGGAATTGCACTTTCTCAGAAACACAACTCCTCAGGCAACTGCTGGCTTCATCCTTCCAGACCTCACTTCAATTCCTTAAATAAAGCCGTCTCTTTCTCCCTTGGACGTTTATTTCCTTCCCACACTGAGCACTTTGTCACTCTGTGTGCTAATCCTGAGCAATTTATCACACCTCCTACAAAGTGAGTATGCGGGGTCTTCTTTCATGTCCTGAGAAGCACAGTGCGTGTCACCATGGAGTTGGCTTTGCTTGCAGCAGTATCTCATTTCACACCTTCAGTGCCATCAGCATGGATGAATTAATTTTAATGTTGTAGGAGAGTTTGCTGCCACAGGAGTGGTCACACAAAGGTGAAGGTTATGAGTAGCGATGCACCAGTCTGAGGGCAGGTTTGGGTTCCAGCCTCCCTCTGCACTGTGCACTCTCCATTTTTTTCTTTTGGTGTTTGGGCTTTTTTCTCACAGAATTGTTTAGGTTGGAAGGGACCTCTTGGTCATCTAGTCCAGTGCTGCTCAAGCAGGGCCACCTGGAACAGGCAGACCAGGACTGTGTTTATTTGGGTTTTCGGTATCTCCGCAGGTGGAGATGACTCAGCTTCTCTGGGCAACATATTCCTGAATTTGACCACCCTCACAGTAAAAAGGTGTTTTCTTGTCTTCAGATGGACTCTCGCATTTCAGTTTGTGCCCACTGCCTCGTGCCATCACTGGACACTGCTGAAAAGAGTCTGGGTCCCTTTTCTTCATTCCCTCTCGTCAGATGCTTACCAACACGCATTGATAAGATCCCCCCAGAGCCTTCTCCAGGTTGAAAGTCTAGCTCTTGGCCTCTCCTCATACAAGAGATGCTCCAGTCCCTTAGTCATCTTAGTGGTCCTTTGCTGGGCTCTCTCCATTATGTCCATGTCTCTTTTGTACTGAGGAGCCCAGAACTGGACGTGGCACTCTGGATTTAGAGAGGAAGGATCACCCTCCTTAACCTGCTGGCAACGTTCATCCTAAGGCAACCCAGGATGCTGTTGGCTAGGGTAAGGGTTGCTGCCAGGCTCTCCCACATGCCCCAGGCCAGGATGTTGCTTGGTGTTAGGAGTTGGAACTGTGTCACGGGTTGGGATTTATGCCAAGGAGCAACAGGAGAAGCTGAACATACCCTTGGAGGAATCTGATGAAGCCATAAAATAAATCTTCGCAGCTGTATTCTCCAAGCATGGGTCCTGGATGCCTCTCTTGTGGTAGGACCAATGATACATCTGTGTAAGGAAATGTGTAAGTCCAGCAGCAGAGTCGTGATCTGGCTGTGCCTCCCGATGCCCTGACCTCAGTGTGCAGTTTGCAGTGCTTCTGACCTGTGGGTATTGGCACTGCCCACGTCCCAAGCAAAGCGGGACCACTTGTGACAGAAAATGCTGATGTGCCACCTGCGATGGGGTTAGTGATTTAGTTGTTCCTCACACCTCTATACCACAAGCTGGGTATCAGCTTTATGAGCACCTTCCAGAGCACCAGGATACTGTAGCTGGTGTGTCTGATTGATCGTGCGTGGTGCATCAGGGAACGTTTGTCTATAAAGCAGCATTTGGGAGCCCCAACAGTTATTCCTGGGTTCCTCTGAGGCCACAGCTCACAGGCTACCCATGACTACTCTGTGTGGGCAGGAAGAGGAGGATTTCCAGGTAAATGTGTCCTATGGCTGCAGAGGATGGGGTTTATGTAAGTAGTAAACCTAAAATTACTGTAGAGCTGGTGGTTTTGGTTGGATTTTTTTTTTTTTTTTTTAGCAATGTGGTAGGCACTGCCCAGCTAATGTGGATGATTTTGGGACAGCCTCAGTGGGATACATTTCCTCTTTAGTGCCTGTCCTAGGCCCTATGTACTTTTGGCATGTGTTTGCTTTTAGGCAGCCTAGTCCAGCTGATGAAATAGATCATGGATAGAATGAAGGTAGCAAAATTCTTCTTTTTTTTGCTTCCTTTGGAAAATTAACCCATCTGCCCCCACTAGAGAGGCCAATCTTCTTCTGGTTGAGAGCACCTTTTCCACATGGACATGTGTGGGCAGGAGCTGGCATAGAGACATGTTCGACCCCTGCCCCTAGTTTTTTCATGCTAACCTAGCTGCTGTCTCTCAGGGTGGCACAGCTGTACCCAGTAGAAAAAAACTGACTGCTGCAGTGAAGGTGGTCCTCTCCCATGATTGATTTCTGCTTTCTTCTGTGCTCTGTGGGATGCTGTGGTGGCTCTGGAAAAGCCCACACTCCCAGCTTCCCCGGGTGAAAGCATGCGATTCTCCGATAACCAGGCACTCGTTGAGGCAGCGGCAGTGCCCAGGCTGGGCTGGCTGGGGGCCCCCAGGGGTCTGGGCTCGCTGCCCGCGCAGGTAGGGCTGGTGCCTGCCACACCATTGGGGGACAGGGACCAGGACAGAGCCTGAGCAGGTGGAAACTTGGGGCCCTCATTCAGGCCACCCTCATTCCTCACAATGACTACAGTGCCATGCACACCAGTGGGCTGTGGGTGGTGAACAGTGCAAGACAGGACTCCAACCGCTTGCGATGGGGCGTGGGGTCATTTTTGTCCCTGATGAGCTTGGCTGAGGGTGTTTCAGCTCAATTGGTGTCTCTCACCCTGTGGGAGCTGTACCTGAGTTGGGTGAACTGCAGAGCACCTTAGGGAACGGGCCAGTTTTCACCTCTCTCCATCTCCAGTGCAGGTTTGTGATACACTGTGGCGTGCTCTGTGTTCCATCAGTGGACACAAGTAATTCAGATAGCTCAGCAGTGTCCTGCTCTGGCCAAGAGCACTGTACATTTGCTTCCTCACTGTCAGTAAAATGTGCTGGCTGGGTGACCTAGTCATGTCAGGGAGAAACCTTGATGTGCCAAGCTCTTCCCAAATGACTGCATCTTTAGGGAGCTAAAACGTGACACAGGCACATCACTGATTGTTCTGGTGTTGGTCTAAACAGCATGAATGTGTCACTGGGAGGACTGAGAAAGGTGGGTGGTCTCTGTAGGGAGTTTCTTGTGTGGTTCACACCAGCTCTGTATGAAGTTAAGCATTATATAGGTATTCCTACACAATACTACTGTTTGTTAGCTTTTTATCCAGTTCTGCATGGTTAAAAACTCACCTACTGTTTATACCCACACTTGTTGGTTATTGAACATCTGCATTTGTATAAACTCTGTGCTAGTCTGACATCCAAAACTAGTCCAAATCACTTGGACTAGTTTTCCCCTGAGAAAACCAGGGAATGGAGATTGTTTCTAGCACGAAGTCAGGGTTTCATCCCAGAAACCTTGCAGTGCCCAACGCTTGTGACTTGTTCCTGCCACTAGTCTATATGATTTATAATGAGCCAGTCGTCCTCCACTAGCATGTGCTGCCCTGTGTCCCTTCTCAGCAGCAGCCTCTGCTGTCACTAGTCTATCCTCCTCATGCTGACTTGTCCCTAAGCTTGGCCATCGTGTGGGTTGATGTGTCTGCCAGGTATCAGCTCTTACCTGCTGAGCTGCTTTACAGTTAGTGGCCAGTTTGCCTCAGCATGGGTGGTGTGTTTTGGGATGGGGACGCCATGCTCCCTGGGGTCTAGTCCCAAGCCCCATGGATGCTGTGCATGCCAGGCTGCAGCTATCAGCCTCTGCCTCTCTGGCAATCCCCTTGGAGAGCAGGGGCATGAGTTGGGCTGGATGCAAGGAGTGCAGTTGGGATGTGCTATCCGGACACATGGCATGGGACCCTTCCTGGAAGGGTAGGACCACACGTGGTCTGGGGAAACCGTGGCTCGTGCTGGGCTGATGCCAGCTTCTCCACTTCCCCTGGCAAAGCGGGACTGAGAAAGGTTTGCCAACTTCCCTGGGGGACAGCCACGGCCTGAAGGGTGGGATTATTGGTGGGGGCCACCTTGGGAAGCAGCTGGCCCGAGCACTCCTGACGCTGAGCTGGGCTTCGTGCCCCAGTATCCATGTTTCCACCAGACACCCTGAAAGCCTGGGTGAGTGCTCCCCAGTCTGGGCCTGGAAGTGGGACTGCACTTATGTGGACTTTTAACTGCCCTTTTTTCATAGCACTTCAGGCAGGATTCACTAAATAATGTTCTTCTGCCAAAAATATTGAAGGTATGGAAACTCCAGGTTTTTTATTGGGAAGCAGAGGATGCTGTTGTAGAAAAGATCTTTGTTTGGAAACCCGCTGTCCACCAAACATTAATTTAGTTGTTTGGGTTTTTTTACCAGTCCCATCTGAGAACGCTGTTCTTTGAATGCTGGCTAGTGTAAGGCCTGTTTTAGTTTAGTCCCCCCCCATTTTTGTGGCTCTTCAAGATTTTCCTTGTCACTTGCCAACAGCCTGGTCAGTGACTGAGACTCCAGGTTGTTAAATATTCACCCAACAGAGAAAACATCTCCCCACATGAGCGGCAGTGCTGAAACAGAGACGTCCCTCTTCTTGTTTCATGGCTGCAGGGTCAGTTGTAGCAGACAAGCTTCTCGCTGGGCTCTGAACACCCCGCCAGGAGAGGGGATCAGCCTGCAGCATTACAGCAACTGTTTGCATACAAACTGTCAACTGCCCCATAAACTCTTATATAAAACAAGACAAGTGGGGGGAACAGTCCTCCAGGGAGATGCTTGGAACAATAAAATCCTCTTTCTAATCATCTCAGGGCAGAGAGGAAGCAGGGATTATTAAATGGCTTT